GGAGTCAAAACAAGTCAAAAAGTTTATATGACCCATGGTCCAAAAGTCAATAGATTTTTGTCTAAATGGCTTTATAGTTTACAACTTTAAGTATCTTATATCCACCACAATCTTACTAATTTTTATAATCTAATCTAAAACGTTTTTAAATTGGGTAATTAAATAAATGGCATTAAGTTTTTCTAAGTTAAGCCAAAATTTGTAGTCATTAAGAAAGTAAGTTTCATTAAATTGAATATTTAAAACACACTTGACAACAGCGCGTCGTTCATCATCACTCTTATTGAACCGGCTATCGATCGCAAACCTAACAGTGGTTAGTTATCCTTTTTGCATAGTTTTGTGGCGTTGTTAGATTTATTTAACTTTAAAGTCGATATTCTCTAAAAAAATGCCGTTTTGACCCCCATGTTATATGAAACTTTTTGCTTCTTTTAACCCCCTCTATCACCAATTTAAATAATGACTATCATAACGTTTACTCCCTGTATAACTCTCAATCATTATTTGATTTTGTGAATATACATTTTTTTTATTGTTTGACTCTCAAATTTTGAGCTGCTTAATATTTTTGTTATACCAGGGTGTATTTTTTGTCGAGCAAATAACTTTTTATCAGTTTCAAGATCTAAACAAGTTTTTATATTTCCTATTATGTTGTCATATATTTTTTCCATATTCTCACCGAAATTCCAATAGCAGCCAGTAAGTTCTCGTTCAAGTTAATAGTATTCACGATTTTCTTAATTTTTGTATTAGAAAAATGTCCTACCAAGGTCAAGCATTGTCCAACTGTGATCACTAACTTTAGGTGTATGTACAGCTTTAATCCCTACACATTCGAAATTTACAATAACAAGATCTAACAAAGTCTCTGATAATGATGTTATGCTGGTACTCTCTTCAATTTTTTGCTTGAACCCATAGTTATTTATGGTTTCTTTCAATTTCCTTGTTTTCATGCTTTTGCTACAATAATTTAAATTAAAATCACCTAAAAGTACTATATTGTTTCTAAAATTCCACATTTCTTCGCATTTCTCTTCAAAAAACATTAAAAATGTATCCGCATCACTGTTTGGTGAACGGTAAAAAGTGCAAAGATCATAACGTTTCCCAAATAATTTGAACTGTATATGTGCATACCAGTATGCATAGTCTAAAGTGGTACAATCGAATAATTTTATCTGTATTTTGTGGTAAACATAAATTACTACACCTCCAGTATATCTGGAGGAGTTACATCTGTAGGTTTTATAATTAGTAATTTGTTATTCACCATCAGTGATGCCTTCAGTTGCATGTGTTTCGGTAAGACATGATACCAGTGGTTTTCTCCATCTTAAAAACTGTTGAACGTCATCTATATTATTCAGAACACCATGTATGAGTAAATGGTATATTGAGTTATATTCACCACTTACAGATTTAGTATCTTGCAAATCTGGGCTTAGTAGTTGCATTTGCATAACTAATGTTTTCCCTCTCACGCTCAATTTTCCTTTTATATACTTCACAATTTTTGTCAAGTGGTCCATGATTAATAGGTAATCCTAGATTAAAATCCTGGTTTGCACTTTTACAATTTGGACAGCATTTGTACATTTCACTGGTACTACAGTTTTCTGTTGAATGTCCTTCTAATCCAGAAGTAATACATCTTCCTGGTTTTGTGCAGTATTTACCTGTGTGGTTAAACCCGGTAATTTATAGCATCGCAAAACATTGATGTACTCGAAAACAGAGCAAACAGACACGTCGATAAATATAACACCCTCATTCATAACACACTTGAAGGTCACAGCATCCACTTCTAAAATTGCTTGATATTTGGTTTTCATTTTCTTGACTGTAATTACTCTCATATGTGAATTTTCTTGAAAAGATTCATTTTGTGATTTATTAGTATTTATTGGCTCGTCTTCTGCATATTCTTGACAAAATCCAATAACTTAGATTTGTGGTTTTTTACTTATCTCTAAAGTTGTTACTGTATATGTTTCTTGCATTTTTGATTTTACTTCTTTATGTAGCTTCTCGATATAAATAATATATAGGGTGACTTCGAAGTTGAGTCATTTATTTTAACAGTGAGTAGATCTGATCAAAAGAAATGTTTTTTCCTTTACCATTTTTCTGGTAAAATTAAAGTAACAAAGTTATAGCCCTTTGGAAGTTTGAGTACCGCCCTGTCTCGATAATAATATTATGTGCTCGTGTTTGGCGACAACGGATATAATCCGCCTTATCGGTTCATCGCATCGGAAACAAAAAAGCGAAAGAATTTGGAACGATGTTTTTACAATTATTTTATTCATTTGTATACAGTCAGTGTCAGTCGGTAACGCGTGAGTAAATAGTTGTGTCTGTTGCGTGGCTCAAACGAAATAAAAAATGGCACATGTTTATGCGGATCGGTTTCCCAATCGAGTGCCTTTGTTAATGTAGTACAACGGGCTCGTGAATCAGGTGACGGCATGCCGGTGCTCCAAGACCTCACGATCAAATACAGGCCCGCACTGAAATACTTGTCGGGTGGATACTTTATAAAACAAGGTAAAATTTTTTTTTTATTTTTACACACATATTTTGGTTTATCTTCCTTCTACAATCATTATCTGAAAATTAATGACTCAACTTCAAAGTCACCCTATATATATATATATATATAATAATCTTTTGTTTTACATTGGATTTTTACCCCACCATCCTTCAAATCATAAAGTGATATCATTTTTCAGTCATCTCTATACACACCACGAAGTAATCAGACGAAAAGTATTAAGAATACTCCTCCAGACAGGCTGTTGGAAAAAAGGGACATGCGACATTAAAAATATTGTGCAATTTTGATTTTCAATTGTTTATTTTTTAAAAATTTTGTTTACGTGTGTATGTATTTAAGTTTATAATATACCAGCTGATAGATCTCACAAAACCGAACAAAAAACTCGTCAACCATGTACTTTACGGCTTCACTACTAAGGTAAAGAGTATCAAGTTGATTTCTTCCAATACTGAAAATTTAACTTCTCAAAAATTACTTGACTGGTTCAGATGAAACTCTACACTCAATTTGTACTGGCTATATCCAAATGAATTATACCAGCACGGCCCAATTTTTAACCGGATATCTCGAATGTTATCTAAGAAAGCCGGCACCACGGGTATTATACAGAAAACCTATTAAACGTAAAAAAAAAACAAAATGTCATCTTGCAGACTAGGTAGTTTTTAGGGTGCAAATAGTAAATTCCACGTTTTCTCGCTATGATCGCTGTGAGCGTCCATCTATGGAGGAATAACTCAACTACACGCATTGTTGGTTGCATATGTTTTGTGAAGCCGAGTAGTCTATATTTTTCATCTCTGAGAAAAAGTGGAAGAATAGCAAGATCGCATCTGGATGATTATGTGTATTGGTCTGCATGCGTATAAAATAATTGATATTTGCTATGTGAGAAAGCTATTACTGCATATTATGCTGCCAATGAAATATTTTATTAGCTGTGCCCGATGGGTTATTTATCTGTTGTCCTTTCTGAAGACAGGTTATGTTCAAAGTTATAAATTACGATTTTTCCCGTTTCTAATGTTTACAAAAACTTTGAGAAGCATTACGGGAAATCGCCACCGCGCCCGCGTTGTGTGCAATTAAGCCACATGACAGAAAAATGAGCAACGATGCATCACACATCAAATATTTTTGCAATGTATCACATCTAGGCGCTGATTAACAAAAAATAATGTAATAACCTATTCCTTCACCAACCAGGAATTTTGTTTTTTATCTCTCTCATTTTTTAAGTTCAGCAAATTTGCATATGTAATTTCCAGAATAAGACAAAGTGGATGCGCAACTGATTTTTAGCTTTGAATCTCAAGTAAGTGTATATGAGATTAGAATCCAATGGAATTATCATCACATATGATTAGCACACAAATCCTCACTATGCACCTATGCATTGCCGTTTGCTTCTAGCTATAATATACAACTTACCGCTTAGACCTCCAGTAATGCCATCGCTGAAGCAAATTTTACATCACATCAGAGCCAAACAATGATAACTGAAGCTTCATGACGTGTATGCAACACGTACAATTACAAAACGAGTTCACAAGTGTCCTTCAGCTAGCAGTTAACAAAACCTACATAATGTCACAAAAAACCAATACAATGTCAAAAAAATCGACATAATGTCACTTTTCAAGATACGTGAACAAAAATTTACGCTTGTTGATAAGCAAGTTCAGTGTCTAAATGTGAAAACTCACAGAGACGAACAGCAAGGTATAACACGGAAGTAGCCGCGCAGGCAGAAGCCTTAACGCCATGACACCGCGGCTTCTATGAAGATCCCAAAGAAACTTTGTTAATACTTGATTTAGTCGAACTGGGAGAAGCCTTCTCGTGTAGATTGTTCCACAATCTCGACACCTTAGGGACAAAGGAGCGGTCGTATCGGCCAGTTCCGGATGTACGAAGTTCAACACGGTTAGGATGGGAGGCCGAGGTCAGGCGGGCCTGTCTAGCAGGCACGTCACGGCGGTATCATGGAGGAGAGCTCTGAGGAGCAAAGCCCGTTGCTGCAGCGGTAGAAGAGAGTTAGATCGCCGACAGCCCGGCGGCGCGGAAGGGTCCCGAGAATATCTGTTAAAGAAGTCATCGAACAACGCTCCTCTGGACAGCATCGAGCATGGAAAATGTAGTCGAGGCGGCAGTACCCCAAACGTGTGAGCAATACTCGAGGAATAGGTCTTCACTGGGCCTTGTATAGAGTGAGGAGGTCATGTGGAGAAAAGCGCTTCTTAGCCCTGACCAAAAATTGACTAGCTTTTTCCCAGCAGCTGCTGCTATTGACGAGATGTGTTCGTACTAGATCAGGTCCTCGGTGATTTGGACTCCGACCAGCTCTGTGGCAGAACTCGGCCATCCATTAAAACCGGATGAGCGCAAGAAGGCTTTTTGTTTGTTAAGGTACTGTACTGTGTTTTTCCAGCTCACCGACAGAGATTGGCTTGTCGCTCTGAACTCCTGACTGTAGAATGCTTTCATCAGTAAAGCTGTGGATTTGATTGATCGTACAGAAAAGGATGTCGTTGATATGTAAGAGGAACAGTGTCGGAGCCAAGACCGATCCCTGGGGAATAGCCGCGTTGACGTTGTGGATGGAAGTTTTATCCATCAGGTATCATAAAAAACGATAGATAACGTAGATTTTGATCCGTATGAAGTTGAATATATTCCAGTATTTGTATAGTAAATATGCTTCAATCAAAGACTGTAAGTTTTTAGTTTTGTTGTTTTTCTCGTCATGAATAAGTCTAGTGGGTTCCAGGGGTATTCCCACATTTCTGTCTTAATTTTAGGAGTTTTATTATTTTGGTAGATTTTTACACCATTTGTTGACAAGCAAGAGAAAATATGTTTTTGTGTGATAGTATCCTTGACCGCACTGATAGAGAATCATGTGCCGTGCTCAGTTAAACCCCGAACTACCATGTTCAAATTTGATAGCACCACCACTGAGACAATTGAGTCGGATCACATTAAGTCCCTTAATGTCTACAGTCGATTCACATAATTTCATCTAAATCACTTAGGTAATTTAAGAGAAATTGAAAATATTTGAATTAAAAGAAATGAACTTGAAACGCCCAACTCAGTAACGATGCCGTAAAATACATAAGTTTACAGGAACTTTTTTGTTCAGGTTAATCAAACCTACCAGTTGGTATATTATAAATCAGGATAACCATATACATAGAATTTTACAATGGTTCAAGGTAACTATTATGATACTCTAGCTAATAAAGACGTTTTTGAACTATAGGTCGATTCCAGAGGAAAATTTGGAAAGGATCAACCAAGAACTAGAAAAAGATGTAATGATAAGAGCTATACATGATGTAAAAGGTATAGACATGGGCAATAAGTTAGTCAGATACAAGGCAGAGCTAGACTTTGATGGTAGAGAATTGACTAGGGCTTATTTGGATAAACAAGAATTGAACGAACTATTAGAAGTAAGTAGATACCTATTAATGTATAAATTGGAAAAATCATACCTTACTAACTAAATTTTCCTACGGAGTTCTTGCATTTCATGATTACATAATATAGATCAATGATAATGATTATTTTGAGATATGTTTTATGAGTGATTTCAATTTACATTCTTGTTGTAGGAGATTAAAAAAATTGACAATATCGACAAACTAGAAGAGTTTATGCTAAAGCATGGTGAAAATATTGTAGATATGGTGGGAGGTGAAATAGATAGAATTGAGATGAAAATTAGGGTAAGTACCATGTTTCATTATTTTCTCCACATACCATTCATACATGAAAATATTTTGTTGCAGAAAAAATATCCGGAAGTAAGACACTGTGACCTTGAAATACTCTAAAGAAGGTTTGGTCTGTATCTTGACATTATGCTGTTAGCAAAATTATTTATTGGAGACAAAATACCCAGAAATGAACACATTGTGATCTAGAATTACGACAAAGGAGTTACAAGCCAGTATAGCTTTAAGTGTAAATATTAATTTATATTTTTTATTATATGGAAACTTTGTTTCTAGTTAACAAATAAAGAATCTATTGTCCGTCAGAAAGCTCTGTACAATGGCCGACCATTCTTCTATGCGGATGCAAAAAGCAACAGATAAAATGGAAGGAAAATGAAGCTGACAGACTTCAGTAACAGTGTGTTGATAATCAAATCGTTTACAACTGACATGTGTCGGTACGCTTGACCAAGCAGTTAGTTACGATCAACGAATACGAATATATTAGGAGCCAAGCCTATATGTTTACGTTGTATTTTTTGTCGACAAAATTCTGTAGTTTTGGTGCATACTTTTGGCTCATTTGACCAATAACGCCTACCAAAGTGTCAGTGATGTATCAACATAATACTAGTAGAAACGTGCCGTCATTAGGTTTGTGCAGCTCTTTGCAAATTATCTAAGAAGTATCATGTCTTGAAATCGCCTAACCACCACAATTATCTGCAAACACTCGTATTTTTTAAAAATAACCCTAAAAATCCGAATTTAATGTCAGAACTACCGGCAAAATTGATCTATATCAAGCACACTTGTAGTATGCACTTTGATCCCAATTACTATGAGAATTAGGAGACAACCAAATCCTAGACTGGCTCCTTCTACCTAGTCTAAGGCCCGTATCGTCAGTCAGTTTTTTAAGGAGAGAAAGGGGTATGAAAATCAAGGAGGCCATAAACGCGCCCTACAATTGTAGGGTCGACTGACGATACGGGCCTAAATCCGTTGTTTATGATAGATAAGGCAGAGTGTAGATCTGTCGACCACCGTTAAGGAGAGTTTACAACAGATTTGTATCACGTCATGCGTATGTTTTTGAAAACGCAGCGAGGAGAAAAAAGCGACAATTGACTGCGGTGCGCGGCACAGGTATTACTTATCTTAAAAAGTAACCTTTCGTCGGTTTTTTTACATTTCGTAGGATTTTCTACAAGATGTTAACTTTGCACAAGCTGTTATACACTTGTTGTGAACGTCAGCGAACAGCGATCATGGCAAGCAAACGTGGAATGAGCTATTTGCACACAGTAAAACTACCTAGTCTGATAGATGACATTTCGTCGTGTTTTTTGACGTTTTTTACATAATAGCCGTGCCCCACGGGTATTATGTAAAAAACCTATAAAACGTCAAAAAAACATGTCATCGTGCAGACTAGGTAGTTTTTAGGGCGCAAACAGTCATTCCACGTTTGCTCACTAGGATCGTTGTGAACGTCTATCTATGGAGGAATTACTCAACTAAACTACACGCATTGTTAGTTGCATATGTTTTGTGAGGCCGAGCGGTCTGTAGTTTTTATCTCTGAGAAGAAAGTTGGTTGAATAGCAAGATTGCATCTGGGTGATTATGTGTATTGGTCTGCGTGTGTATAAAATCAGTGATATTTGCTGTGTGAGAATATCATTACTGAATATGCTGCCACTGAAGTATATCTATTAGCTGTGCCCGACGGGTTATTTATAAGTTGTCCTTTCTGAAGACAGGTTATATTCAAGGTTATAAATTACGAAAATTTTTGCAGAATTACGGGAAATCATCACCGCGCCCGCGTTGAGTGTAATTACTGTTAGCATGTATATGACTTGTAATTACACAGTGTGCAGTGAATATAATTATTTCTTATCTCTCTCAGTTTTGAAATTCAGCAAGTTAGTATATGTAATTTCCAGAATGGATAAGAAAAAGTGAATGCGCAACTAGCTTTGAATCTCAATCAAGTGTATTTGAGACAAGAACCCAATGTAATTATCATCAACACATACAACTCACAGCTTAGATCTCCAGTAATGCCATCTCAGAAGCAGATTTTACATCACATCGGAGCCAAAGATTGATAACAAGCGACATGACGTTCAGGCAGCACGTACAACTAAGTGCTAAGTTAATATCTTGTAGAAAAACCTACATGTCAAAAAAAATCGGCATAATGTCACTTTTCAAGTTTCGTGATACCCGTGCCGATCATTTTGAGTTTGGAATATATGTGTCATTATTTTGCGGACAAAAATGTTACGGATATCAAAATGAGTAGCGGCACAAATGCGTTTTCATTTGAACAAGTTCCAGACATATGTTGCGCAATATGTGTCCGACACGTGTGCATGGAACTTGCATTGGATATGTACCTTTAGATTCATATGTAAGTTTTGACATTTCACATAACTTCGATTGTGAATACTTCTGCCATGTTGCTCTCCTTCCAGTGGTCATTGCACTGGGCCAATAGATCATTGATAATGTACATTTTCTTTATGACAGAATTTGCACAGTCTGCAACATTTTGCGAAGCTTGTGCCCGACCAGGTGCGTTTCCAGATAAGCAACAATATTGTGAGTGTACCTTTTATTTACGTACACTCGGTTCCTCGAGGTCCCCTACCAAGTATTTGTGTCGGGCCCCGGACATCTTGGCGAATGTCACACGATCAATATTTACAGTGATCCGTCAGTATTTATTGTGGAATGTGATATTTATTGACCATGTAACCATGACGTCAGTAATTACTGAGGGGAACTTAGAATAATAGAACTACAGTATTTATAAATGGAACTATTATAATTCGAAACGACTATATCACACTGTACAATAACTTAATACTAACCAAAATATGCACTTTGGTAAACAGCACAATAAAAAAATTCTTATAAATAAAAGTAACCTTGCACCTAATCTAAATTTTCAACATGGCTCTGCGAACGATTTTTCGTAGTTTTTGGTGGAATAGCAAGAGTGAAAGGTTTTCCTAATCTCTCATAAATTTCCTTGACTCTCAACACAGCCGTCCTGTTTATCGCATTAATAGGAACATCTTTGGTGGCTTGTTCGAAAGTATGAACTACTTCTTCATCCTTCTGCTTGCCAACTAGAACGTCGAGAAGACAGCTGTATGCGTTACCAATCGCTCCTTCAGTTACTTTGCTCTCTTTCAGATGGTCTATTAGTTTTTTCGCTAGGTTTTCGTCTTGTCGCTCCCTAGCAATATGAACTATTTTCTGGAACATGATTCGTGGAGAGTCTTTCAAATAAGTATTCCATATATGTTCGGCTTTTTCATCCTTGCCTTCTATGAAGCAGTATGTCCACAGTACATTCAGGGGACCAATTATGTTTTTATTGGAGTATTTGACAGCTAATTCTTCATCTGAAAAAGTATTAATTTGTCATTAGCGCGTTTAGACCACGATTCCAAACAATCGATGTGGTAGTGTAGAATAATTGAAAAACGCTACTCTTAGCGACACTTCGTCTTTTTTGTACTTTGTACGAAATAAAGCCTGTTTGTTATTATTATTACTATTATTAATGTTCACAGTTGATGAGCCTACAAGTAACCATACTAGACTTTTTAACTATATTTATCCTAAGCTATAATTGTCTAAACTGGTTCAACCATTTACCAGCAGTTGTGAAAAAGATTGTAAAACAAAGTGCATTTAAAAACTAGTATTTAGAATATTACTAAATCTAGAACCATATACAATCGATGAATTTTCCAATACAGATTTGCATAATATGCTTTAGAGTTTAGAGCAAGGTTTTATCCTTTTTGTTTGGTTACCACTATTTGTATCACAAGTGGTTTACAGCTATATCATTTTTATTTGCAAATAAAGATTAATGTTATTAATCATTATCATTATATGAGAGGCCTATGCCGTTTCCATTTCAAAAATCTACTTATGTGGGTAAATTGAAAATAAGTATGATCTAAGAATACTGTTGTATGTGGCAGTATTAGTAAACATAGAACTTGGAAGACTCGAGATATTTTGCAACGTTGGGAAACATTGTCGTCCATCAAATTCATATAAAAATACGAAAAATGATTTGTGAAAAATTTGTATCTGACGACGTGGCGAAGGGGTTCGGAAGGTTGACACCAACCTTTTAAGGAGCGATCGTACACTCCATTTGGAACACAATAAGCCACACACACCTTGGTACGAAGTTGAACCGTTTGAGAGTGACGCGTATTTTGTGAAATCACAGAAACATGCCGAAATCATGAGATATACCATCGCATGTTCGATAATGAAAAGCAACAGCATAGTTTTATCTTGTTGTGTTGTCTTCCTATGCAAATAGTTTCGAAGTTATTGAAAGCTACCTTTTATAAAAATAATGTTAGTTTTCCGAATGGCTGGATTTTGCAATGCCTCGTGGATTCCCGAACAAGTTTATGAGAAGGTTTGGCTACTGTAATTTAAAATCATTGAAAAAACTTCCTTGACATCTACTCTTTCACAACCATAATTGTTTGTCAGTATCACATATTAGAACAAGCAGAATCTCATTGAAATTACGGAAAACTATAAAACAAATTTTTCCTAAAATAGAGCACTTGATAGTGACAAAATTATTCATCCACTCAATCATAGTTGGCAGTGTAGTCTGCTAAAAGCGATTCGGTTTCACAGTATCTTGTAACTTGTTTGAAGATTTTCGGGAATATATAGCAACTGCGCAAAATCAAAATGTATTGAAAAAATTCCAAATTCAATGCGTAGAAATACAATTAACACTTCCAAGAACATTACAAAACTACACACCCCAATTTACAAATCCGTGATACACTATAATTTTTATGTTGTGGAAAATTAAACGCTCGTCATAGTGCATACAAACATTTTCCTCCCCTTGGCAGATAACTCATCTCCTCGATTTATATTTGTAAAGCTAGCTCATAGAACCGGTTTATACGAGGAAACGACTTCCAATGTGCACTTGCTCCGTAGAATTTGTAAATCATTTAAGTATGTAATTAAAAACCTAGATGGAACCTTGATGGCGAGTGTCTATAATTTAATGAATAAAATAAAAACAATTTTTTTTAGAAACAAGCTTTTATTTAGCTGTTAAAAACATTCAGAAATAATTTTCCGATTGGAAATATGCCGTTTCATACTACTTAATCTTTAAATAATAGTAAAGGTCCTTCGTCTCAAGTTTTTAATTAAAAGCGTGTTACGTTTTAACGGTGTAACGCTGTTATTTGAAAACGAGACGAAGGAGCTTCACTATTGTTTAAAGGTTAGGAAGTATAAAACGGCATACAGTGGAGTCGCGATTTAGTGAACTCCGCTTCGAGTGAACTACCCTGTAGAGTGAAAACACAAACTTTTCATTGCTTCGCGATACAGTAAACAGCGGTAAACCCGATATACTGAACTGCGACGCACCTCTTGTAATATGTATTATGGATCTCTTACAAAATATTAATCCAAATGTAAGTTAAATTGAAAAAATATGTTATGTTTATGTAATTCTGATTTCTGTGTACATATTGCAGGTGGTATGTGAAACAAACGACGTTAAGGTATGGAATGAAGAGGAACCAGTAAACTTAAATCATTTGGAGAATGACATAAGACTTGATTACGATTCGGAACACCTACCGTGTTGTTTTATTTCCATATGCAAAACTTAAAAGACATCCCTCTTATAATAATTGAAGAGCAAAAAATGCAAAAACTGATAAATCCACATTTTATGACTTTTGAGTTAGGCATGGAATTCGGTTAATTATGCTCTATCCGTTTTTAAAGGCAGATATGAGCAAACGCCGCTAAATCCTCATGAAAAATAGGAACAAGCTCAGTGCATTCCACGCAATACCCGATAAATCCAAAATTAATGCAAAAAGCGGTTAATCCAAAACTGTGATTTTATGCCATCTGTGAATTTATTATCAAATCAACTGATCAGGTGGGTAGATTACATTATTATTTTTTCAGTGCTTCTTCAGTCTTATCTTGCAGTAAAAGAGCTTCTCGTAATTTAACATAGTTAATATTAGTAATTTCTTTCTCTTTGTTAGCATCAAATTTACTTCCAACTTCAAAACATATCCATGAATAATCACTGATCTTAGGAGTATGCATAACTTTTGCAATTAAATTTTGTTCGTTTGTTATTATCAAATATATAATTGTTCTTGATTGATTTGTAATTCTGGTGTGATCATAGACTTTTTGCCAGTCTATAAAAACTGAGTACCTGTTTAAATTTCTTTGCGTAGAAGTCTTGATTATCAAAATGTATGTTAAATTTACCCAAATGTACCGTGATGCGGTTTCGATAAAAATGTTTTTCACAGATATTAAAATCTATAAATCTATTTATATTTCCAGTTGAGATCGGTAGTAAATGTGTTAATTATAATAATAATTATTATTATTATTATGATAATTTAGATGAGCAGAGTACACAGTACTATAAGCTCATGCAGTAAATATAGTGTACGGACACGTAACACAAATACATCAAGTAGAAAAAAATAAAAAAAGACAGTTCATAGCTATAAAGTTTGTACACTCCTCCAGCTATCATACTGCACTTTGAAGCTATTAACTGAAGTATCACCAACCACACTTTCAGGTAAACTATTCCTGGTGCTGAATATGCGGTTGGAAAGAAACCACTGTCGGACTGTTGTTTTAAATGGCTCCTTATGCAGTTTGAAGCTGTGTCCGCGTAGATTGCTGCGCGACAGACGGTATAGATGCATGAGGTTGGTGCCCATCAAACCATGAAGTATCCTGAACGTAACTATAAGATCGCCACGAAGTCTTCGCTCAGAGAATGAGGTCAGGTTGAATAATTCAAGGCGATCTTCATAGCTTGGTCTTCGTGCTCCAAAAGGGATACGAGTAGCCCGACGCTGTACTGATTCGACGAGATTTCTATCGCGCAGAAGCACAGTGTCCCATACCGGGCCAGCGAATTCAAGAATTGGCCTCACGAATGCCTTGTAAATGTAGGCGCAAGTGTTGACATCGGATCCTTTGAAAGACCTCTCCAGCATGTATAGAAGTTTCTTGGCTTTTGATGTAACGTGGTGAATATGCTCTGACCAGGAAAGACGATCGTTGACTACAACGCCCAGATCAGTGTGGCTGGAAACTGCTTCGATGTTGTGGTCAGAGACCTTGTATGTAAATCGCGGATTTGTCTTCCCGAGGTGAAGGACACAACACTTAGTTAGATTTAAGGGTAAAAGCCAACTGACTGACCATTGACAAACAATATCAAGATCTCGTTGAAGCATAGCAGAATTTACGACTGTATTGTAAATCTTGGTGTCGTCGGCATAAGCTGAACATGTGGAGGAAATCAATGCGGGCAGGTCACTTGTATACAGAAGGAACAGCACTGGCCCCAAGACAGAGCCTTGAGGAACTCCACTTGCTACATGATGAAGGTGAGACTGGCTATCACTGATGCGCACAGAGAAAGTCCTCCCGGTGAGAAAAGCCTTAATCCACAGTAACAACTCGCCTCTTATTCCCATACATTCCAACTTAAACAGAAGCCTTCTATGTGGTACGCGATCGAAAGCCCTAGAAAAATCTAAGTAGATTATATCAACAGGAGTCTTTGTGTCCAGATACTGAGTCCAATCGTTGAGAGAGTGGAGAAGGAGACTTATTGGTCGATAATTTTTAGCGGAGGATTTGTCGCCCTTTTTGAATACAGGGGTAACAGAAGCACTAAGCCAGCATGAGGGTAGGGTATGAGATCTAAAAGACGATGTGAATATCAAGCTTAATGGTAGGGCCAGTGCTGAAGCGCAGTTTTTAAGTACAGCAGCCGTCATCCCATCTTTACCAGGGGAGGAAGAGGTCTTCAGATTTCGCAGGTGCATTAATACATCTTCAGGCAGGAACTCAACTTCGCAAAGGCTGTTGGGACACCTATGGCAGATAGTGGTCGGTAGAAGGTCTCCATTAGGCTCATCGACGAAGTCATCACTAAATGACTCTGCCAGTAAGTTGGCAGATTCGGTGGCATCCATGTGGAGATGACCGTCAGCGTCGCGGATCTGAGGTGATGAAACTTTGGAATTCAGGTTTGTTCTTAGATACCGAAACAGCTTCTTCTTATTTTTGGAGGTAACGAGTTTTCGTTCATAAGCATGTTTGGCATTATGTAACGTTCTAGATAGGAGGTTAGAAAAGGATCGATGAGACACGTAATCTTGTGAATGGCCACTCCTCCTAAACCGTTGCCACAAAGATCTCTTGTGACGAAGCATCCTCGATATGTTAGAGTTGATCCAGGGCTTTGAGGGGTCACATACCTTCTTTTCAACAGTATTGTCAGCCGTTTCGCTTAGGACTCGTTGAGCGAAAGTGTCCCACA